GGCCCTGCTCCCTGAGGCGGCCTTGCTCCCCGAGGCGGCTCTTCTCGCCGAGTGCCCTAAAACGTGGTTCAAAAAGAAGGTGAAAATTCAGAGCTGGGCAGACTGACCGCCCCCGGCAGCCCCTGTCAGAAAGCGCTGTAGTGCCCGGGTACCCGGTGCTGAAGCGGTTTTAAAAAGCGTCGAGGGAGGTCCCTGGAGGGTCTGTGGGAGAAAGGCGTTGCTGGCCCTGATCGATGCGGGAAACAGCTCTTGGTTTTGGGGAAGAAGAGGTGTGTGGCTGTGTATAATATATATACACACACCTCTATGTCGTTTTCAAGTCAGGCTCTGGTGAATTTCCATGGCAATAGCAGTGGGGAGGAAACACAAAAAAAAATCTCAATGAATAGTTAAACTTGTATCTCATGGCAGGTGGAATCACGCCAGTCTGCAGGCTGGGGAGTAAAAAGGCTGTACAGGGGCTGAGGGATGAACGCAAGGTTACAGACACAGCGCTTAGGGATTGGCCATGCCTTCAGTCAGGGACGTGAATACTTCTGAGAAAAATTACAGCCTATGTGGTTGCAAAACTGGTCCCAGAACTCGCTTTCCATATCAACAACTTTCCATATCAGTTACGTTACTTCAGCAGCACTCCCCTTGTACTTTCAGCCACAGAGTTTGGTTTCTGTAATACATCAAGGCCTTTGCCTTCATTGCAGCGACAACGTGTTTGTGGGTGGTTTGTCTGACGCTGACTGATTTGTTTGCAGCCAGAGCTCAGTGTGAAGCCGCCTTCCAGCCAGGGGAAAGACATGCAGATTCCCACAAAGCTGTGTTTGTGTTCCTGAAACCAGCTACCATGGCACAGGTTAGCAGCTTTAGCATTTAACTTTCAATAGTAGTCTGATCAGTGTTTTCAACAGAAAGAGTGTGTTCCTTTATATGTACAAAAGAGAGAAAACGATCTGTACTAGCCATGGCAGAGCTCCCGTTTTTTCGTCCTTCTGCACCAAGGAAAAATCCTGATAAAGTTAAGTTCCAAAAATACCCGTGGGTTTTTTTTAAAATCTTCATGGAATGCAAAACTTCACGAAACCTGTAAAATATTCTTCTTGCCAGCTCTGAGTTAGAAACATGTTGACCAGAATTCCAAGGTGGTCATGTTTGAGTAAATGGATACTGATTCAGGTTTGTTATGATCATCACAAGAGCCACAGCTTGCATCAGCAGGATCAGGACATAGCAAGTAAAACCTGAGGCAATGACTGGTATGTCCATGTGATGTGAGCACAAATTCCGCAAAGCTCGTCCGGAAACTGCGTGAGCCTCATTTGCCCACACGGTGTCATCGTATGTTTAGAAAGTTAACTGTGTGGCCTACACTGGAGGCTGCAACAGTGTTCAAGTGTTTTTAGATTCGCGCGTTTATAGACTGCATGTGTGTGGAAGTAAAAGCTCCTATAAGAAATCATTTTCACCTCTTTCCCATGAACTCTTTAACCATAATATGCACCATGAGGACAAAACTGTGTTCCTGATGAAGGTCCCTCCCTGGGCTGAGGGAGGAAAGCAGATCCCGGAAAAAGTCTGCTGTGATGGTTTGGTTTCTATCAGTATTAATGAATTTCCAGTTGATTCCTAAGGAGAAAAATGGAACATACAGAATAAGAAAAAAAAGCTTTTGAATTCAAGTTATTTTTTTTCTTCTTTTCTTTATTTTTAGAGGCTAGTATTTCTGTGGACACATTGTTTCACATGCAATTGGATTTTTTTTTTTTTAAGGGGGTGGAGTTGTGTTTCATGTAGCTCTGTACGATATCTTTTCAGTCTGGAAATACAGGACTAGAGATTCTAGTCTAACTGAGCTTGTGCTAATACCGACTGCCAGCCAGCCAGCTAAGACTGACTGGCAGACTGACCAGTATCATCTTCACAAACATATGGTGACTTCATGACCTCTCGTCTCTAACTATTGAGCTCAGAACCAGTCAAAAGTTCCTGAAGGGCACCTGGCCTTCCTTAGCTCCAAGCAGCCGCTTGTGCAGAGAAGACATGTGCTGCTTTGCCCTCTTCATTCAAGTCTTGCCCATTTGTAACAGAGGTGACTTCTACAAACTGTGGTTTACTTGCCCTGCCTGTCAATCTAAGCAGAGCTTCCTGCTGCTACTGGATGGCGTTTTGTCACTTGCCTTGTAACACTAGGCTGTAATCTGTAGGGAAGACATACTCTTAAAGCCGCAAGATACTAACACTAAATCGTATAGATTATGCTCCTACTGTGAGGGAATTTCCAGGTCACAGGCAAACATCCTTTCATGGCCTTTTCACACCGAGAGTGTGTAGAGTCAAGCTAGAAACCTGGCCCATAGGGGTAGTAGTTTGCAACACTCATTAAATGACTAGTCACTTCCTCACATGTATTTTCAGATGCTCTGGCTGAGCTAGTTAGGTGTCTCAAGTCACTTTGTTTCTGCCAGTAAGAAAGAGAGAATGTACTAAGAGGCCTTTTAAGGACATTCCAGAATATACTGGTATAGAAAAAAGAGGAAGAAGACAAAGAGGGTTCTGGAAACAACCGTGGCACATTTTTTGAACTAGTGATAGATGTGTATTTGTTTGCAGAGTGAAAAAACAAACCCACAAAACCCCAAAATATTTAAAGCGCTGTATACTTTTGACTTGCATAAAATGGATTACGTCTGGTTTTATTAGTTTGCCAAGACTATAGCAAATCTAAATGGCCTTACTTCCAGGTAATTCTGATAATACTCTCTTTTAAGTTAAAGGAAATTATTGCAAGCTAACAACCTAGAATGTAGATGATGAGCTGGGCAGTTCTGTGTTTATATCAAGCACATCTATTTTACGTCGATTATCTTTAGTTTCTTTAAAATTTTTTTTTTCCTATCTTGAGCTAGAACAGAAAGAAATTTTGCAGCTCATCAGTCTTGTATACATATGGTAAGATTCTGATCCTGTGGTGGCTGTGATGTAGAGAATCATTCTGATTCACCTTTGATAAGATACATACCGTCCACTGTGTTGTTATTAAAGGCCAGCTGAGAATGGGACCCTGCTGTGCCAAAGACTATGCAGACAGAGAAGTACAGATGGTTTCTGTTCCAAAGAGCTTATAATTAGCTGCATTCACACATGCATTGAGCAGAAAAACAGCCCCTCAGGCCACAAGG